TTTTTTAATGGAATCTTGCAATCAAAAGCAATGGTGTTTCTTTGTAGACATAAAGAGCTACTTTTCTGTTTCTCATAACAGGTGAAGTGTTTCAATGCTCCTCTACAACCTGCTGAAATAGTAGGTGTTAAAAGAGTTGTGCAGGAGAAGGTACCTGAAGGAGTCAATGACTATGGGCTTACACTAACAGGCTTTCTTTTTCTTCATGCTCTATTTATTGAAAAAGGTCGCCTTGAGACTACATGGACTGTTTTGCGTAAATTTGGTTACAATGATGACATTGAACTTCGGAAGGAGAATCTTCCTGTTCCCTCTAGAAAAGCTCCCGACCAGGTTATGCTCCTATTAACTTCAAATAAATTTCCATTTATATATTTTTTTAGTCTTTTTTTGTTTGGATATTACATTTAGTAAATAATATCCAGTACTGGGAATAATCTCTTATTGGTTGTGTTAATATAGAGTATTGAGTTGACTAGTGAAGCTGTGGACTTCCTGATGGGGATTTTCAGTTTGTTTGATTCCAACAATGTAAGTATTTCTCTCACGTTTTATTCTAATTCAAATTCTTATACACTGGCCCTTTACATTGTGGATCTTTTCTTCATAACTACTTTTGTTAATTATCAAATTTATACCTTCTAGGATGGAGCTCTACAAGAATCTGAGGTTGATGAGCTGTTTTCAACTGCACCAGAAAGGTGAGTTGGTTTTTAAACTTTACATTTGTATTGATTTAATGGTATATTTTCTATTCTTTTAGTTAAGTTATAGAAGGTGTGAGTTTTGTCATCTATATATGCTGTGTGCTTTCTTGTTGGTTCTTTTGTAGTAGTAATTTCTAATGCTTGTATAATCTGTATTCTCCTTTCAGCCCTTGGGATGAAGCTCCTTACAAGTATAGTTTAGAGAGAACCGAATTAGGGGACATACGGCTTTCAGGGTTTCTCTCTCAGGTGTGCGTGTGTTTTTTTATTAATATAAAATTTATATATTTTCCTAAACTGTATGCTCGGTTTTACTAACATTTATTACACGGTTGCAGTGGGCCCTAATGACAAACCTCGATCCAGCTAAAAGTTTAGCCTATCTGATATATCTAGGTTACACTAATGACCCTGCAACAGCACTCCGTGTCACTAGAAAAAGAACATTAGATGTTAAAAAACAACAATCCGATAGACATGTTTTCCAGTGCTATGTATTTGGACCCAAAAATGCTGGAAAGTCTGCATTGTTAAGTTCATTTATCGGAAGGTAAATTTTTTGTTAGACTTTTTTTTTTTTTTTTTTTTTTTTTTGCATTTAAGTTTTGTTATTTCTACAAACTTGTTGATAAAATATGGTCTCGATTTACTTGCAGGCCTTTCCAAAACTCATATGCTTTAGATAACAATAATTGTTATACGGTCAATGCTGTTGACCAGCTTCGGGTGAATGTTTACTCTAAAACATTATGATATTGGAGACATACTTTACAATAGCGTATTGATATTGTTTTCAATTTACACTGATTTTGCAGGGAACTAAGAAGACTCTTATATTGCGTGAAATTCAAGAAGATGATGTCAAAGAGTTTCTATCTAGCAAGGAGTCCTTGGCTGCTTGTGATATAGCAGTTTTTATTTATGACGGGTGAGCTCCATGCTACATGTTAACAACACTTGGTGTTTGTTCTGTTAGTGTTCATACAATTGTTAGGATAGTAAACAAAATAAAAAAGAAAACATGTTTATTAATTTCAATTTATGACTATCTTGAATTTATTAGGGCAAAACACACACACACACACACTCACAAAAAAATACTTGTACTTTCGCCATATTATCGGTTTAGCCACTTAATTACTTCCTGTAGTGATTAAACAATTATATGTTTTTTGACCATTTGGAAGAAATGTTTTCTGTTTTTTGACCATTTATTAGAATAGAATTAAAAGAAATACAACATACTTTGACTGTTTTATCGATTTCGCCACTGAAGTACAAATTTATTGATTTAGCCATGGAACTATTATTATAATAATCATAAACATGAACGAGGTTGAAAGAAGAAAGATTACTATTTTAATACACATAAGACGGAATATCTTTGGTGCGATTTTAAGGGTAGCACAAATACAATGATGAGAGAGTAGAAGTCTCTGCATTGGGGAGCAAGTACAAGTACTACACCCAAAAGAGACTTGGGCTTATGATCCACAAGAATTTAGGAGGCTCCTCTTAACATGCTGACCGATAACGAAGTGGGAAGATAGTTTGAATCTTTTCGAGGACATAACTTTAGATAGGAGGGAGTGGAGTGGAGGCTTAAAATTAGGGAAGTGGCATAGCATGGGTCTTAGTTGAGGGTAGGTTACCCCATTTGTTGTGAGGTTTGATTATTTTTGTTGTTGCTAAATCAATAAAATGGTGAAAGTAGGTTTATTATTATTATTTTTTGAAAAAAAGTGTAATAGTGAATGGTTTGGGTGTTGCAACAGTTCGGATGAATATTCGTTAAAAAGAGCATCAGAACTGCTTATGGATGTGGCGAGGCGAGGTGAAGATACTGGTTACGGCGTGCCTTGTTTCTTTGTTGCGGGCAAAGATGACTTGGATTCTTACCCCATGGCAATCAGAGATTCCGAAGCGGTAATTCACTTTTCTTAAATTTGATTCATTTATATTTCTTTCATTTTCATTTTATAATATAATTTTTTCATTTTTTCTGTAGATCTGTCAGGAATTGAAAATAGATCCACCGATTCATATCAGCGTAAAAGAAAGAGACATGAACAACATTTTTTGGAGAATTGTAAACGCAGCCGAACGCTGTTACTTAAGCGTCCCCGAAACCGAATACGGAAGAAACAAGAAGCAGTACCGCCGCCTCGTTAATCGCTCTCTCATGTTTGCTTCTGGTAAAATCCTTCATTCTACTGGACAAGCTTTCTATGGTTATTTTCAATTATTAGGGTCTTTTGTCCTTGGGTGGGACCAAAAATTGTACTGTATTTTGTCATACTGGCATAAAGTCTCAGTCACAGTCTAATGCATGACAAACACAGTAGTACAACATGGGTCTGATTGTTTATTGATATATTTTTGCAGTCGGAGCTGCTGCGGCTGTAATTGCATTGGCAGCATACCGGGCGTATGCTTCGAGGAAGACTCATTCCGGCAGTTAGGTTAAAAACATACCGATGTTTTAAAAATAAGCACAAAGGTTGCTACATATCTTTACCCGACCTATTTTAAAAATAGAAAAAAGTTTGAAATTTCCATCTCAAGTATATGTTTTTTTTTTTTTTAATTTATCATTTGTTGATTCATAAATCATATACTTCCTCTAAAAAAAACATGAGTAGAGAAGTAAAATGTAGGCGTTTGTTTGGGTTTGGCGACAGTGAAGATGACACGTAGGGGGGATTTAATTTATGAGATGAGAGTAAGTTTGTTTTGTTGCAAGCAGCAAATTGGCAATTGGACAAGAGAAAGGGCGAAAGTGAAGATTTTGGCGATCCTGATTTTCAGGTGCTTTTGATCCTGAAATGATAAGAGAATAGCAGGAGCAGGAGCAATAGGGGTGGAAGTGGGGAGGTAATGGTGATTGGTTGATATTATTGTGGACTGGCTGTTGACCCAAAATCCAAATTGATTTCATTTTTCTCGCAATAATTTTTGTCTCTCTGTGTGTCTGTCAGTGATTGAGTGACTAAAGGCAGATGGGTAGGGGTAGGGGTAGGGGCTAAAGTGATTCTTTCTGTATAATGCCTCTCATGCACTGCAATTGGATTCAATTTGGAATTCAACTTGGTTTCAAGATCAGATGATGATATCTTCCAACTTATGTTTTTGCGATCTCATCTTTTCCCATTTCCAATTTCCCTGCCTTTATTGTCCTTTTCCTCCTCTCTTTTTTGAAATTTTCACCTTTCTCATGACTTTTTAATCATATGTGTTCTCAAAATCAGCCACGTTACCAACAACTTTGCATCTACCCTACTACTAAAGATTTTCAGAGCATCAGTCCACTATGCGTGGGCTTTGTGGTATTCAAATATTACATTAGTTTTTATAACTTTTAACAAAAATTCAAATTAAAGAAAAAACTTTGTTTCAGGATACTATCTTTAGCTTTTATTAATCAAATATGTTAAATTCAAAAGTTATTTCAACTACCAGTTTACTAAATTACTTACTATTAGCAAAAATCATCCAAACAACATATTGTTTCTTCTCCCAATCTTTATGTAAAACTCAATATTAATATAAGCTGTATTATATTAATACCAATATGTATGTACAGTAAGACCAGGCTTCATAGTTAGTAACATCACATAAAATTTTTGGTTAGATACATCTAAATAAAATATATGTTGATTGGAATTTTTACATAATAATATAGTGAAAAAACATTAAAATGATGAACTATCAAAATTCGGGTACAACTACCCAACATAAACAAAATAAATAAATAATGAAATCAAGTCTTTGCAAGTTTGTTGCTTTATTTTTTTTATTTTTTATTTTTTTAAATACCAAATAAACAGTGAGAATTTTGGAAACATTGTTAAGAAAATGAAAATTTCATTATTATGTTTTTAATCTTAGTCTTTGTTTCTTTTATGTAATTTTATATATTTCAAAAGTTTTTGACTACTTTTGTCGAACAAAACAATCATGTACAAATTAAACCTATAATTTACAGCTTCTAACTACCAATTATTTTTCCAAACATACTCTTAACTTTGGGGATTTTTAAGATACTTAAAAAAGTATATATAACATTGATTAATTAGTAAATTTGAAGGTTCATCCAACCGACGAGACTCGAGAAAGAACCAAATTCCTTTTTCAATTGTTTAATCATATAATTAAAGTAAAAAAAAAAATAATAATAACATGATTGATTAACATTTGGATTCTAAATGAAAGAATTACAGCATACCCATCAATAACAAGATTTGAATAAAAAATTACCTCGTACAACATGTCGTTTTTTTAAGCATACATCTTATTTAAATAAATAAATAAAACCATAAACTATTATATGAAGATATTTTTCTAATCTTTGATATTTGTGCCATATTGAAAATATTGAAAGTTTAAAACATATAGTTTTAATGATATATTTTAATAATATATTCGTTTAATTTTGTATATTCAATTTAATAGATTAACTAATTACAAAATAGTAAATATTTAATATATAAATATAAATATGGTGTAATTGAATTGTTATTAAATATAAGGGTTAAAATGGACAAAACCAATAAAAGGATTATAAGGTTGGAGTTTCATATGTGGTTGGAGTGCTTAAAAAAAAACTCTTATCTTCAATGGTAAATTAATTTTTTCAAAAGCTTTTTCAAATTTAAAAACTTGAAAAGAAAATAACTACCAAACTACCATTGTATGCTTTAATAAAAAAAACCAAGATCTTAAAAGTTATTTATAGATCTAGTAAAATGTAGATTTAGAAATAATTACAGTAGCAAAATCTTGACTTTTCACACCAACAAGAAAACTTTATGAGATCTTGTCCAAGTAATCCAAGTCCACTGTCTGTTTCTGTTGGGTATCTTACTAGCCCAACATTGTAATCTCTCTTGGTCTTGCATACAAATTTGTCTAAACCCTAAATGAAGATATTCAAAATAAAATCGCCTTCAGAAACTAAATCCTTCTTGATATTTTAAAAGGTTCATCATTTATATATCCTTCTTCCCTAATAAATAAAGAACTTTTTGCCATTTGTCATATTCATTGGCCACATGTCATTTTGTACTTATTTTCAATTAAATTTTTTCCACGTCATATTTTTTGGTTGTTTCATTTTTATTAAATGTATTAATTGCAATAAATATAATAATAAAGACATTTCAATTTCATTAATTGATTTTCCTTCTAATTTCAAAATTTCTAAATTAAAGCTCATTAGTTTTTTTGTTTATTTATATAATTTATTTGTTTAAATTTAAAAGAGAACAAATAATTTAATTTTAATAATTCAATATTTTTCTTTTTTTCTTATAAATTCAACTTCTCAAATGTTTATAATTTTATATATAATTTTTTTAAATGAACTCATGTAATACATGGGTCTTACACCTAGTACATTAATAAAGTAGTATAACTTTTGTAACAAATTGAAAAAAAAATAGTACATAAAAAAGCTATTTAACGCTTTTCTTTAAATAAAATAAAATAATAATTATCATCATGTGAAAATATCTACAAGAAAGACGATCGCTCTAATAGTTATCACTGTCATTAATTTTCAACGGTAAATACAAAAAAGAAGAATGTCCATCTTTATAAGAAAACGGTAAAGATGGAAAATATGTGGTCCAAATTGTTGCTGTAATTGTGTTCTTACAAAATTCAGATATCTTGAATTGTACTTCAATATAAACTTTAACAGAAACGCAAAGGTGTAAAACAACATTAATTAAAAAAACACACCTTCTTGATATTTTAAAATAATACATTGTATTACATCAAAAGTAACCAACTAATTATGTTTATTATCAAGAATCGGCCAATGTAATAACATACTCTATAGCAGGTTTTACCTGTTAAACACTTCCTTTTTTTTTTCTTCCTACAGATTTAAATACAAAAGCATGACACTCTTTTAGTTGTACAATTTTCTTATAAAAGATTGATGAAAATTCGGATTATCAGTCATTTAATGAAATTTCGAGGCAAATTCGGTTTAAAGGCTGTGTTTGATCAAAATGCAAACATAAATAATATATCAAGAATATATGTCATCTGTGTAATTTGTCGCTATAAAAAATGACTTAATTTTTATGAAAAAAATAATATAAATCGAACAAAAATATTTTAGACCAACACAATCTAACATGTTCTGATAGAACCTATTGTGATCAATTATCAACATATTGACTTAATTTATCACATATATAAGTAATCATTTTGTAAAAATGAATATATATAAAAAGAGTGTCTAATTACTTGTGTGAAAAAGTACGCATCATTTTTCTAAACAAAATTTGAAAATTTATAAACTTATAAAATTTATAAAATTTGAATATATATATATATATATATATATATATATATATATATA